ACTCGAGCCCAAATATGATGTTACATGTGAGTGATTTGCTGTAAGTGGCCAAATTCATGTCCAAAGGAGCTCATATATAGTCATACATCGATATTATCTCATTATCGTGGCTTGGATTTCCTACCGATCTTTCAGTGAGTAAGCGAAGACGATCCACCAGCTCATTTGGATCATCCCAGTCTACATAATCCAATTGTTGCGATGGCTTTTAGTAATTTTATAGTGAGGTACGATGATCCTTCCTTTTTATTGCCGATAAGATCAAACATCGAAGCTATAATTTTATTGAATTTATTATTATTATACGTTCGAATAGGCACATTCTTGCTAAAACTCTTTTGATGCACTGAGAGAGGTTAGAACCATTTTAATCAGTGACACCTACGGTCTTTTATTTGCACTCACTACAGCATGAGATTTACCGCTGCCTAGCACGGGTTTTCCGGTACCAGCACCGAAAAAAACACTTTTAACATTGTTATACCTCCAGTGGTACCGGAAAAACCTGTGCTAGGCAGCAGAAAATCTCATGCTGTAATGAGTAAAAATAAGATACGGTAGGAGTCACTGGTTAAATTGGTTCTAACCCCTCTCCGTGTGTGCACTTGAAGTTTCCAGAAGTACATAATATTTACTCAAATCATCTTCAGTGATTCGAGTTGTATCAGAATGTTTTTTCACAAGTAACTCCATCAATCCACCTTTTTTAGGGAATCTTATCTCATTTATTCTAATTTCATTGTTATCTAAATTTAATGGTGAATTTTCAAACTTGTACTTTCCATCTTCTTTTCGGAGCCCATACACCAAATCTAATAAATCTTTCTGGTTTTCGTAAAACATTTGTAAGTATGAGTTATTGGAAGTGTTTTCATTATTATCATCTGTCTGATTTCGAATGGTAACATTCATATCGTCATTGTCATCGTCATCGTCATCGTCATCATCATCATTATTATCACTTTGACTGACGGCAGACTCAAACATCATATATTCGTCATGGCTGTATTTTTTCTCTTTTATTATTCGTTTGATGGTCAGCTTTGGTGTAGGAGTATTATTGAAATAATTATTTATGAATCACGGAATGACTCTTTTTATTCGTTTTCTTTGTTTGCGTCGCAATTCGTTGTAAAGGATCAGTGATTGGCTTTAAAGTTCCACTCAGTACTCTTTCAACCTTATCTTTTCGAAGTTTCAATAATCTATATTTCTCTTTGACGGCTTCTCTTGCCTTTACCAGCTGATAAAGAACGTCTTTTTCTCTCTCGTACATGTTAACACTTCGATGTCTTAGAGTAGACTGATTAGTTCGCTCTACATACGACCTACATTTATAGCACAACTGTCAAAACCTTTACGATGTCGGCCGTTGTTCGTCTACCTATTTTTGTCAATAACATAGAAACCATGTGTTCATCATAATTCCAACAGTTTGGGTGTTTTCACCAGCAAGTAATTTAAACAGCAGACGACGTGAAAGTCGATAAAAGAGTGAAGATTTTATTGCTGTTGACTGTCGTCCTGCTGTTTTTACTGGCCAGATTACGGAACAGAGCGCCAGTTAGTTCAAGGTATTTGACTTACCGACCTGACAGTAACGTAGAGCGCAACCTAAAATTACTTGCTGGTGACGATTGCGAAAAACACCCCTTGTGCATAGATTTTTAAACCGACTACAGGACATATCAGAATTAACGTGATCATCGTACACATGTTTTACATTAAGTTCATCTTGACAAAACAAAGCTAGAAGATTAACGTTATTTCTCACAAGGTGCTTCGGTACTTAAGCATATGACTGAGAGAGATAAAAGCAATCGATATTTTTATACCTTCCCATGCAGTAGATAGATTTTAGGAGGTTCGGTAGAGATAGAATTTTCCAGTGAATTAATCTGAAATTTTGACCAGACGTTCTTGTTGTTGTTGCAATAAAACTGTCAAAATTTTAAGAGGATCGTCTCTTTTGTTTTCGAGATATTAAATCTTAAAGCTCAGTCATTTTAACACAGTCACTTATGGAAAAACTAATCAAAACTCAGTTTTAAGCAAATTGGCCTAGTGAATTTCGCCAATTTTTTCATTTTTCACAGATAATGTTATGAGTTAAATGCATACCAAGTTTCGCGATGATCGTCTGATTCGTTAATGTACGAAAAAAATAAATAAGTTTGATAAAAACGCAATTGCAACGTCACAAGTCGCGGGAAATTCAAAATTCTCTGGGACGTCTATTAGTAAATATTTCAATATTATCGTAAATATTAACGCATTTTCGTATAAAATACAAGATTACATGCGTGTATAAACGTATGTACATGACGCCCACCCCTCCCCATAAGAAAATAACAATATATTTTAATAGCACGTTGTTTATTTTTCTTATAAAATTTCAAATTTATGATTATTTCTGTTCCTTTCTCATTTGTCGTAGTTTGGAGGTTACACTGTTTGGTTTTGGGCCTTTTTACGAATGAAATCTACGAATATAAATACAATGGTCACAAGTCGTTTTAATTACTTATTTATTCATTTTCATTACATTTTTATAACAAATCAAAGTCAAATACCTACTGCTTTATCGTAAAACCATTGAACATACACACGTATAACACTGTCGTAACCGACGCAGCAGACGAGCGGACAGCAGCGATCTCAGAAGTGATAGAATAACTTGGCGGGAAATTCAAATGGGCTATATGGGGCATGACGCAGAAACCCAGATAACACTTTTATGCATAATAAACTAATAAAATAAACCCAAGCTATTCAACCCAATGACCCGGGGTGACTACTAGCAAATATCTGAAATAATTAATTGCTAAATTTAATAACAAAAGCGCCTTTCACCCAATGACCCGGGGCGCTTACTGGCATATGTGTTAAATAATTAATTGCTAAATTTAATAACACATGCTCCTTTCACCTAATGACCCGGGGCGCTTACTGGCAAACGTCTTAAATAATTAATTGCTAAATTTAATAATAAAAGCGCCTTTTGCCCAATGACTCGGGGCGCTTACTGGCAAATGTATTGAATAATTAATTGCTAAATTTAATAACAAAAGTGCCTTTCACCCAATGACCCGGGGTGCTTACTGGCAAATGTATTAAATAAGTAATTGCTAAATTTAATAACAAAAGCGCCTTTCACCCAATGACCTAGTGCGCTTACTGGCAAATGTATTAAATAATTAATTGTTAAATTTATTAACATAAGTGCCTTTCACATAATGACCTGGGTCGCTTACTGGCAATTGTGTTTAACAATTATTTGTTCAATTTAATAACAAAAGCACCTTCCACCCAATGACCTGGGACCCTTACTAGCAAACGTATCAAATAATGAATCAATACATTTACTAACAAAATCGCCCTTCACCCAACAACCCTGGGCGCTTACTGGGAAATAAATTAAATAATTAAGTGCTAAATTTAATACAAAAGCGCCTTTCACTGAATGACTAAAGGCGCTTACAAGCAAAGGTATAAAATAAATAGCTACTAAATTTTAGAACAAAAGCGCTCTTTACCCAATAACCCGGATTGATTACTGGCGAATGTATTAAATAATTGATTGCTCAATTTAATAACAAAAGCACCTTTTAGCTATTGACCCGGGGTGCTTACCAACAGACGTATATTAAATAAATTATTGCTCAATTCAATAAAACAAGCAGCTTTTATACATTGACCCAGGGTGCTCACCAGCAAACGTATTTTATAATTAATTGATGAATTTAATATTAGAAGCGGCTTTTACCCTATGACCCAGCATCTTTAGCGGCAAATGTATTGAATCATTCATTGCTTAATTTGATNACTATTGATTAATAATTCATTATTTAATAGATTTTCCAGTAAGCATCCCGTGTCATCGGGTGAAAGACGCTTTTGTTAATAAATTTAACAATTAATTACTTAATACGTTTGCCAGTAAGTGCCCCGGGTCATTGGGTGAAAGGCGCTTTTGTTATTAAATTTAACAATTTATTATTTGAGATATTTGCTAGTAGTCGCCCCGGGTCATTGGGTTAAATAGCTTGGGTTTATTTTATTAATTTATTATGCATAAAAGTGTTATCTGGGTTTCTGCGTCATGCCCCATATAGCCCATATAGCCCATTTGAATTTCCCGCCAAGTTATTCTATCACTTCTGAGATCGCTGGCGGACAGTCGGACACCTGATGCGTGTACATTACACTCACACATTGAAGACCCGTACAGTACGGCGTTGTCAACTCTTCACTTATCGCTGGTTTCCCCTTGCCCTGCATATGTTTCCTCACGCTATCTCTATAGAGATTCGGTATACCGAACGTCCTTAATCACACTATCCTGTTTATCACATGCGATATTATCAAAAATTATAGTAGAATATTTATGCTTTTGTGATACACTAGGAAAAAATTTCTTTGTATTTTGCTTACTGCAACACTTGTAAAAACTTATTTATATGACTCCAACTGCAAATCTTGTACATTTACTTGATTGTCTGGCAATTGAAAATTTTTTACTATTAAGGCAGGGTGGACGTCTAAACTTGATAATTCCGAACCTGAGATAAGTACGTTTTTATCTGTTTTAATAATTTTCCATAGTTGCAATTTATATCTCTGAATTGGGAAATTCAAACTCCATTAGTAACATTGGGAACTAACTGTATTTTGACTGATTTTTTTGATCAGTTACACAACAAAACTTGAGGTAATATGAAGCTAGTCAGACTTAAAAAGTTGGAAATATGACTAAGAAAAATTTTGTTCTTTGTGAGTTATTGGTAATAAAAATGAAAAATGTGTAATTTAACTGTTTAAATATTACTAAGTTAAAATATTTTTGCCTAAAAATCTTGTGAGCCATTTCAAAATGTTTCGCCTCAAATATTAATAATTAAAAGAAAAATGTTACTGTTTACAAAGTATAATAATAAATCAGTGTTAAGGGTTTTTAATAGGACAGCAAAAAAATAAAATGGACAATAAAATATTTTTTCAATTTATTATACACCTTATCTTACATACTTTACTAAAAACAAGATTCTAATTTAAAATTTATTTCTTTAGTGCATTAAATAATAAAATGAGAAATGAAATGTATCAATAAAATTGAAAGTGTAATAAAAAGTATCGTATTGATTTTAATACTATTTGTATCTAAAGTAAAGGTTAACTCGACTGTTGATGTTTCAGAAAGATTAATACAAAAGAACAAAAGTAGTAAAAAAAAATTCAAAAGTAGCAGAACCAGTTTATTTTACTTGACACAGATGTTTTGAGACTGCTGCTTCTGCTTCATGTTGCAAACAGGTAAGTCTGGTCTTGGTCTACGGAACAAGAGAACATGTGGCTCTACATGAAAAAATAGAAAGAGACACTAGTCAGAAACTAAAAATTTCTCTTCATAGTAAGTTGCACTTAGACACTACATTGATAGCAAAAATGTACCAATAGTAATATAAACGATTTTAGAAGTCAACCAGTTTGACATTACACATTTTTAATAATAGTTATTAATGCAATATGATGCTTTAACTGTTACTTATTCAGCTTTGTCAAAACTTACAGAGGGTACGATTATATCAATGTGTATAGAGAAAAGTTACCTTTTACAAATCTAAACCCATATTATAACATATAGAGAATCCGGCTAAAAACTCTGAACTAGTGAATGCAACAAGTAAAAACAAGGTTTTTGTTACCTGGGCTATGCATCATGTAGTGGCTCCAGCCCGGACTCTGCTGGACACCAAGGTTTCGCCACTCAGTCTCAGTCATTAGATGTGACTTGGGAACAGATCTAGCTACATCAGGAGGCAAGATGACGTGCCTGAAAATAAAAAGGGCCACTGATCACATATGATGGAAAAACAGTAGTGGGTGTTATCTCGACGAGATAGGCGGGCAATTAAAATATCTTATGAAACGGACGTTAATATTAGGCTCATAATACCTGTATTCATACTTATCGTCGCAGTACTTTTCAGAGTACTGAATTTGGTCGGCTGGCATTTTCGAAGAATCTAATGTTCAAGCCGACTATCGTGGCTCGTCACCCACTCTCAGTTCTCAGTTACAGAATGCACACCAGAAAGTATATACATTCATGATTGCATCATACACTTACCTACTGTAGTCTTCTACCCAGTGGTGGGTAGGTAAGTTACCTAAGAAAACTCACTTAGTTTCTTACACGTAAGATACCTGTAAGTTACCTAGGATAGTTTCTGACGTTGAATGTCGTTTTGTAGGAAAACAAATAAGCCCTTAGTACCCATGCTGCGCATTGAAAAGTAACCTATTCAGTCTAGAAACCAGCGTGGAGATATTTGGGATTATGATGTCGCGTTGGAGCTTCTCCCAATGCTCAAGGATATCGGAGGTGCGAAGCAGGTCATGGAATGAATGAGCGAACGGGTTAAGAGTAATTTAACTTTATTCATTATAAAACAAGAAGAGACTGCACTTTGTTAAACTGTTCGCTGCTCGTGGACAAGGCGCGTGCCGTCGTCGTTGCTGGTCGAGCGTCGTGTGTCAGAGATTAGTAGGGAGATTGCTGACTGCCATGCTACGGAGTGTGCCCACTTTTTTCCAGTGGTTCGAGCGCCCCGCCGCGGCCAAGCGGCCGAACCAGGCGCACATTTTTTTTTTTATTTGAGCAGCACGGTAGGGGTATGAGAAGAGTGGATTCGCGTGGAAATGTCCATATAGGCGCACATTTTGGAGACGCGTGGAAGGGGTATACCGAATGTGCGCCTACGAGGAGAGGAGTGGAAATGTCGGCTATATAGCTGTATATATCTGAACGCACAGCCAAAGCAAGCGACGATACGAGTTTTTCTTTTTTGAGAGTCTTTGGACTCTGCAACTGAGTACATGCTATATGTATATATTTAACTGACTTGCTCTCGCTCTGGCTTCAATGTTATCCATAAATCTTATTTAATTAAATCGTGGAACTAAATGCTCATTAATTATATACACAGAATTTTGATTTCAATACATTATGTTTTAACTCTCCCGTACTCTTAAAATTCCCAAATCCATTTATGTTTTCAAAAAATTAACCATTAATTTATTAATTTCACACATCCTAACTTCTGTAAACTGTAGGACAAGCTCCGGAGGATATCCATGAACATATGTGACTTCGAAAGAGGTACTTCTCGTCCTTCGGATAGCTAAGATGATTAAGGCTTATGCCCCTTCAGAGATTGTTTTGCACTCAAGGGTTCAAATCCACTTCATGGTAGATATTTTTTTTTTTTTTTTTTATTCAATGTATCATTTTGTCTTTATTTCTTTTATTTATGTTTCGTTAATATATATATACATATATATGTAGTCAACATTTTTTTTCGGATAGATCAAAAAAAATTAAATTAATATTGTTACTTTGATACAAGGCAATTCTATAATTTTATAATACTAAAATAACTTTTAAGGATTTTAACATAATTTGTGTATTTTAAAACTCCTAAGAAATTGTGAACATCCTATTTACGACAAAAAAAAGCCGAAGGCAGAAGAAAACTCATTCTTTCACTAAGATTATATCAAATATGATCATTACCAGTAAAGTTCAACTTACATCCAATTATACGTGAATATTTAACTACGTACATATATTATATTTTTGAGCTTATATTTACATCCTTTATCAATACCTTGTGGTTATTGCATTGACAAAATTCGTACTATATATATATATATATGTACAAACATAAAAGTAGATTCTTTAGTCTTTATAAATAGTGCGTATTTTAGATTAAAGAGTCTTACAGAGACTGAACGAAGCTTTTTTTATTCAACACATACTAGTTTCAACCACTTGTAACTCAGAGTATGGTTTAAAAAAAAAATTTGTATTCTGTGTAAACAATTAATCTTTTTACCTATAATCAATTGTTATTGTAATTTTTCAGAAATAGTTACCAAAATTTTTGACAGTGCGTAAATCATAAACAGTTAACAAAAATTTTTTTTCCTCTGTTTTGAAGGTGGCACTATATATATTTTTATAGATGAATAACTTTACAAAATATTAAAATTTCACAATTGAAATTGCTCTTTTAACTATCGCAATCGATCAATTAATTTTACATCGTATGCAACACACAATGATTCGCATAAATTTATTCTATTGTTTGTAGTTGATAAGATAAACCATCAAAAAACACCTCTTGCCACAGAACGCAAGGCAGCTAATTTTTTTTTTTTGTAGTTATAGTAACAACCGCATTGTCGGTATCTTCAACCACGTGACATAGGTTGCTTTTATTAAAAAGTTCGCGGAACTCTCACGACGAGTAAATTAAAATCTTTAAAATCTTTAAAATGCCTTTTTCAGAACTCTACATATTAATTTTTGAGAATCATAGCTGAATTAATTTATCATAAAGAAGTATGCACTTAAATACAGTAAACAATAATAGTTTGAATACTTCACGATTTTAAGAATAAAATGGAAAACTAGAATAAGTAATTGGTCGATTTTTCAGAAAACTGTAGATTTTTTAAAGATTTTGCACTACAAATGTAGATGTTGATACTATTTTGAGGGGGTTGTCGTGGTACAGTCAATTTCAAAATTGAATTTTCGTGTTAGAAATGTCTTTGTTGTGATTATTCTTAACAAAACAGGTAAATAATTTAAAANAAAGTATAAAAAAAGGAATATTAGAAACTTGTTTAAAAAAGTAAATCATAAAAATCCATTTTCCAGTAATATATTGAAAAGAAGAGATTTTTCATGTTCCTCAGTATTTTCAGCTAGCTCTGTAGATCGTTCTATTATTTTCATCATAACAAAAGAGTCTTCTCAGAGTAATAGGCGTAAGAGAACGTTTTCAAACTGAAAATAAGAAAGAGCCTTTAATTTTTATTTCTCCGATTTTAAGTTGGTACTACATTTATGTGGGAATGTATATAATTGATCTATAAAAATATATACATTACTACCTTAAAATAGAAGTAAACAAATCAGTTAAAAAGGCATTGATATCTTTTTGTTGAACTCCTCGTTTTGCTCTCCAGTATAAAATAAATGTGTGGATTCGTACAGGAGTAAACGAAACCAACCGAGAGCTGGGTAAGGAGCAAATAAGAACTCAAAAATGTCGAAGAATAATCTTGAGCGATGATTCGTTGGGCTCAATCATACCAATCGACGCCAACACCTCAGTGCGAGTGTACCTCTGTATAAAAAGGCTTTNTCGCCTCGGACTGTACCACTATATAGGTATTCTAGTAACGTTGTAACTGGACTTTAAACTGTTATATTTTAAAAACGGTGAAGCTAGGCTTCCTCAATTTTAGTATACTTATTTTAACTATAATAAACCCTATCATAATAATTGTTTAAAAGATTCTTAAGAAAATTTCAAAAGCTATGAGTAAAAACGTGCATTTTCCGACAAGTCCTTCTAAAAGCATGTGTATAAGTGGCCACCTTCGTGATTTTATTTCTCAAAAATGGTGTATTTAGACTCTTTGAAATTTTAATATGTTATTTATGATACTGAAACATACCTATACAAATTTTTTCAGAAATTTCTTAAAACAATGAAATATCACAACATCCCCGTAACTTAATCGAAGTTTTTGCTAGCAGAAATAGACCCAGACTCAGTTTTTACTAATATAGAAATTCGTAGAGAAAAAATTTTTTTAGTTCTCACAATTCCTGATTCTAAATAATTCATCACGTTAGCATAATAAAGAGTCTTCTCAGAGTAATAGGCGTAAAAGAACCTTTTCAAACTGAAAATAAGAAAAAGCCTTTAATTTTTATTTCTCCGATTTTAAGTTGGTACTACATTTATGTGGGTATGTATATAATTGATCTATAAAAATATATACATTACTACCTTAAAATAGAAGTAAACAAATTAGTTAAAAAGGCATTGATATCTTTTTGTTGAACTCCTCGTTTTGCTCTC